AACATGACTGGATTTGAAGGTGATGCGAAGAGTTGCGCACCTTTTTGACCCATTGAGCTATACTAGGTGGTGCCACGGGTCTCTCGAGAACTAATACCAAGTTGGTCAATGGTGCGAGGTCAGACGAACTCATTCTCTTGGTCCTCCAGGTTGGGGGTTGTTTGAACTGGGAAGCATCCATTTCTGTAAAACTATATCATTGCCACTTCCCCGCTGCCTTGCGGACAAGCTTTTGAGCCAAAAGCTTTGGTTGAGAACTATAATCGTCCTCCTGTCTACATCTGGGCACTCTGACAGTATCTCATCCCACATACAACCGTGTCTGTTTCCTCCAACCTTAAGTACATCCTGCATCGACCGGAGTCCAGCTCATCGTGTGTCGCCTTAGCTGCTGCATACAGCAGGGCGGATAAGCGAAAACATGCTACTGCTGGCGCCTCCCTTCAGTTTTTTCAACCCCTATATTAACATTCATTCTATACTTTCCAGCTTAGTTGGCAGTAACCGCAATGCCACTAAAGTTCTACCATTTTCAGCTACTTTTACCCATCACCCAGTGGACGCTTATCGGCAACCATTCTTTATCAGTTCACGTTGTCCCGTTTCTCTGGCAGCGTTCAAAATTCTCACTCTAATTCAAATGCGTCAACAGTCTGTACACGCACGCATCTTGGACACAGTGTGTGCAGAGCACTAGCTGTTTCTTGGTAGCACTGCTTTCGGACACTGTGCGCACCGAAGTTTCACTTGGCTTCCTCCTGTAGCTGACCAGCGATGGACCCAAATAGATCACACTGCCATAAGTTACATTGGAGTGGTTCCATCTTGGCTTGCTAATCGTTCTGGAGTACCTGCGTCAATTCTGATCATGCCTTGTTATGCCGTCGTTTCTCCATGAAATTTCCCGAGAGTCTTACCAAGCGCCTCCCCCGATAGCCAACTGAGAAATTGTCTCAGCCCTCTGTCAGACAAGTCTATCAGGACGCACTGCCTACCGAACTTTTACTGTTTTGTCCTAATGACACTGAGGTTCAGTTGAATAGGATCTCGGCCGCAACGCACAACGTAAGAGCATCTGCTTGTGGCACTACCAATCGTCACCACACCAGTCACTATATATCCAAGAGGTCGGTGAGCCTGTTGGAAGGTAGAAGGAAACTCCCATCTGGATCTGCGTACAATTTGACCATTCGGACTATTAGGCGCGAACTAAAGCAGTGCATGAGTGCTGACAAGGAAACTTGGTAGGTCAGTCGGGTTCAAGAAATGGAGGAGGCTGGAAAAGTAGGTAATTATCTCAAACACTTCCAGCTGATCCGTGCCATTGGTCGCAGGAAAACAGGTGTCAGTAAGACAATCAGGACCGCTGTATGGCTCGATGGGAGCCACACTTTGAGATCAGTTCAGTAGACTTCTACTCACTGACCTCTTTTTACTCAGGTGATGCAGGAAGAGTCATGGAGGCTTAGTTTAGTGGCTCCATCAGAGACTGAGATCCGAAACGCGATCACAGACCTCAATCGTTGTCGTGCCGTTGACTCGTTTCACCCCCACTTACATTTTTAAGGACGGAGGTGAAGTCCTCTGCAAAGCACTGAGCTCCCTAATCAAACATCTTTGAAGGGAAGAGTGTCCCGGCTAACTGGAGTGAATCGATCACAGTGGCGATGTACAAGAATGGCAGTCGGTCCGAATATGCTTACCACAGGGGTATTAGCTTAACGCCCGTAGTTACAAAATTACTGGCTTCAGTTCTCAATTGTCGCCTCACTGTGGATCGGGAATCCTGGATTCAGGAAGAGCAGGCACATTTCCGCCCAGGACGTGGCTGTATAGACCACATATTCATTTTGCGGCAAGTGTTAGAGCAGCGCCACGCATACTGCAGGCCGACAATGGCTGTGTTCCTCGATTTTAAGAGGGCGTTCGATTCAGTCGATCAATGCATTCTGTTTGAACTAATTGCTCGGAAGGGTGTTCCCATGAAATATCTGAGCGTTTTAAGTGCTCTATACTCGAACAATGCAGTCCGCGTCAAGGTCTATGGTGACTTGTCGGATAGCTTTCCGACAACAAGTGGCATTCGTCAAGATGGTCCGATTTCTCCGTTTTTGTTCTATTTCACCGTGGACTGCATCACGAAGTGTTCCCTTGTCGGTTCTCATCATGCAGGCACTGAGGTGCTGCCTGGTGACAGGGTAGTCGATCTTGACCATGCAGACGATATTCGCATGCTTTTAACGATGTTGGGGGCGCAATCAACCCTGAATAACCTTCGTAGAGTGGTTTCATCATTTGGTATGCCTTTCGCATCTTCTAATTGCAACGTTGCTGCAGGACTACAAGCAACTTGATGATCCCTGGACCCTAGATAGCAATGAACTGGAGCTGGTTGATCGATTCATTTACCTTGGCAGCTGTGTCAGCAGCGATGGGGGCATAGCTACTGAAGTTAGTTTACGCATTGCAAAGGCCAGAACTGCCTTCTTGAAGCTGCGACATCTTTGGCGACAGAAGGGAGTTTCCGTCCGTCTGAAAGGCCATATTTACAAGGACAGAGTGAATGTTGTCCTGCTGTATGGGAGTGAGACTTGACCTCTTCGGTCTGAAAATCAGAGGCGCCTTCAAGTCTTTGATAATGGTTGTCTGCCAAGCATTGCTCGTGTCGGATGGTACCAGCGTGTCCGCAACGATGATGTGCATTGGCGATTGCTAGGCAGTGATACTCAAGATAATTCCTTAGAACAACAGTTAACACCGGGTGAGTATGCCTGAACACGACTCATAGAGAAGCGTCTTGTTTAGGATAGCACAAGGCGCGAGGTGGAGAGAAGTTGACTTAGCAGCGGCAGATGAAGTCAATGACAGCCAAACTCGGTGCTGTTGGTCCTTCTCGCCTTCCAGGCTGTTGTGTCTACACCTACACTAGTCCCCTGCACACAGGGTCTTGAACAAGCACGACCAAAGCCCCGAACGAGGAAGCAGAACTCTACTGGTACGCAACACAAACTTCTATTCACGCCAACGGTACATACACTCAGTACATTCAAAACAACCCTGGTTTTGATCGCGAACGGACAGGCATCCAATCACAAGCTACGAAGTGCGGTCGTGGTAAGGCCCGCGCGTACGCGCTGCCACACAGGCTCTTATCCACGTGGCCAGCCTTGTGCCTGGCTCGAACCGTTACAGTATATGGATCGTAGTCGGTACCAGTGGCGCGTCTGCTTCCGTCTCCTAGGAGGACTGTCTGTTTAACCTGTGTTTATTACTGAGTTATCTGCAGGGTAATGACTGCTTATAACGTGGCAGTGAAATCCGCAAGGAAAGTGTCTTGCTGGTGTCGCCTTATCCTTGTACGATAGCCAACTGTTTGTGATGGCATGTTGTTGAGAAAGTGTAAGCGCCTTGACCCTGAATGTTTGGTTAAGGCATTAATGTTTTCCGGCAAGCCCCATTTCTTCCTCTTATTATTCTTCCTTCTGTATGTCGTTAGGGTTGTATGACAGCAAAGCATCAGTTCAAATGGCTAATTTACTGCTGTTGGTGATGATGATGATGATGATGATGATGCGACAGTAACTTGCATGCTTGCGAAATGGACAACTGGCACGGAGATGTTTTAGCTGTAGTAAGATACCCGTTAATCATCGGCAGCGGTTTTAAAGACCGAGATAAAAGAACTATTCATATAATTGCCTTTTAAAGGGGATGCGGCCATGCATCGTCTGGCTAAAAATTTGTTCTCTGCAGTTAAATCTACTCTGCCAGCCACGACCCTGAAATGAAAGTTCGCTACAAAACCGCTCATCGCTTGGCAAAATAGGACACACTGATGACGTTGGCCGCAACTATGGTTACCTATCGTTTCGAGCGAGTCTGTGCTCAACTTATATCGGTTGAACCATGCGGTACTTGTCCAAGCGGATATTTGAGCAACACTTATGCTGGTTACCTCAATGCGGCACTGAGGCCATTAATTACGTTATTTAGCTCGCTTTTTCCATGGGCTTTACATAGACTGAAAGCGTGCCCGGGTGGGGTCTTAATGATTAAGAGTCTGTCTTGTCATCAGGAAATCATGGGTTCGTGCCACCGTAGAGGAGCGGGGACCCCCGCTATATACTTAGCTCACGTGCGACTGGTGGAGTTCGTGCAGCAGAGAAGCCTAAGTGCTGCGTACCGTCGTACTGCTTGAGCCTTTCTCACCTACTCTACAACACCCTTACGCTGCCGTCGAAAGGCTTACGATTCCGTATACTTACGACAGATGAGGTAATCTGCATTCGTTTGGCACAACCACATTTATGCTCCCAGCAGAAACTGATCCAGGATTTGTTTCCACGTCGGCCAGCGAAAATGGAAGACCCTGAGGCCACTTGTGTTGAATCGAGAAATACAAGTGACGTTTATTAGATTGTCTGTCGGTTCACCAACCTGGCTGTCAATTGTTCTGTTTCATGCTAAGTAATCTAATTAGTTGCATCCTCACTTCATGTTAAGTATTATAATCTAATATAAGTAATCCAATCTATGTCCTTGGGTTGATTGTACAGATCTGAGTATTAAGCGCTGAAAACAGTTGTTTATCTTTGGTCCTACTTATTGTTGGGGTGTTTTACATCAGAATCGATAGGATAGAACACTGTCTGGTACGTAAATCAATTTGCTCGCAGTTTGACTGAATGAGCAGCTGTTTGATGGGGACTGCTGCAAGGTGGAAAGATCATTTATCATCTCATAGTTCCTTCGGTGTGGGTTACAGGTACATAATATAACTGAGAGTGAAATAGTATAGACTAGACAAATCGAAGCTTACATGTTGTTCTATTAATATAAATACACCTAAATTCACCCAAATTCTGTGTCTCATCCTATCAAGATAGTTGTGATGAGCTGCAGATTTCGACGAGTCGAATTCTCTCAAATGTCTTGACAATAAGCTACAACTGAACACATTAGCAGACACCATAGTAAGGTACTAGAAAGTTAGAACGCACCGATGTTCCCCTTTGAATGAATTGAATATTTCTTGGAGTTGAATAAGGTTCACTACCTGACAAAGGTGAAATGACATTTTTTTATTACAATAGAGATGTAGATGTAAAGTATGCTGGAAAACAAACTGAAAACAGAAGAACACATGTTCACCAGAGAAGAATTTCAAGTTCACTTAGAACGAATATTTAGTCGATAGCTATTTGACCAAACTTGCCTTTGAAGCTCATTCGGTTCCTGTCTCATGGCTTCGGCAAGTGTTTATGTTTAGATTAATGGACAATGAAATTCACATACATGCGGTGAAGAAGGCTCCACCGAGGTCTGTTGCGTATATACCGGCATTTGTTGTGCCGTTAACTAGCCGTTGGACGTCTAAATTGGGTTCCGGTTATAACTAGGGTACAGCGAAACGGCGACTCATATCTCGATTTCTGCCGATGATTACTACCAACTTACCAAGTTCGATAGAAGAATAGGTTTACTGTGACATGATGCAAGTAAACAAACAGAAAACTTATTTGGGCATGGTATCATATACTGAGCAAATTATTTGGAGATTTTCCATATTCACTCATGACACGCCCGAGGAACTGGGCACCAAATGCCGGAAGGTCGATGCATGTGATCCAGTAGTTTGACATAACCTGCTGATATACCGTGACTTGCTTTTTCCAGTCTGCACTCAAAACATTTGCCAACTCGTATTATGATGTCAGAGTTGTGCTGTAACACATAATGCGTTGACATAGAGTGGATTACTTTGAAATGCGGAAATCGAGACTTGACCTGTCTTCCTAAACGGTTACGGTGTTTGTAAGGAAACGGGAGCATTTTCACGGTAATCCTCCTTGGGACACAACGGGCGTACTTTTCGGGATATGTGATGCCTAGTTCTGATAGGACTAGGTCTAAACTTGTTTTTGAGAGCAACTACTCTGTATGACTAATTCGCACGGTGTGGCCAGTCCTCTGATTTTTATCCTTCGTACCTTTACCGTTTATTGCAGCGGAATACCAACCATCGTCTTGTGGGTTTTGGATGGTTGTGCTGCTTAATACACCTTGTGTATGGTAGTGCCAGTGTTAGCCAGCCAGTTAATGCCGTTCGTCTTGCAACTAGGTCTGGATGACTGAGCTTTCTAGGGTAGCATCAACTGGCGAACCATCCGCATTTTCCGCATGGACAATGTGGATCCAAAGGAGTCATTATTTCTGCAGAAAGAGGTTGCCCAATACAAAGTTGAGTGTAGAGTCGCCGTCGCCATCTGATATATGCCTACACAATTGTGAGGGGCAAACGCTGAATATCACTGCTACCGCGTTTTAGCAAGTCAAAGTACGAATGATGGGTGTGGTGTTTTCACGAAAACATTTCCACTTCTTGTGCAGAATTACAGTGTGAAACGTATATTCTAGGTGTAGTCACAGGAGCCAAAGTTATCTTTTTTGGACATCTTGGAGTTGTTCATTGACGACTGCTTAGCAACACACAGTTACCAGGCTAACACACACTTCAACACATAGTAAAGCTGATAATGCTTTTACCTCCAAATCGGTCAGCTTCCCATCCAGAAACTTTGCAACTTGCGTACGAACTTGTTCTTTTTCATACTCGGTGAGTTGACCATAATTCACTCGACCACGATTGTTCTGTCGTTTGTGGAGTAAAGAAAAGATGCAGTAATACAAGACATGCCGTAAAAAAGTTTGGATAAAACGACTTACAAGAAAGTAGCAACCACACATTTACTCCATGCAACCGTATAATCACTAAATAGGCATTCCCATCATGAGGCTAACGGTAGACCAATATGCTTACATTTTAAGCCAAAGGTGATCACCAAAAACAGGCGATCGCTTTAAACTCTCTGACGGTGATACTGCCCAGCGTGTTAACTTACATTCCACATCACCCCAAACCTTGTGATAGTCACACTCTGCTCTCCTATAACCCACCTACCTAGTCTGGTAAAAATGGATCCCTCAGTGCACACGATGTGCACGTCAATTGCGTTGAAGCGTTCGAGCTACGCGCGAGGAGCACAACTTACTGTCAAAAAGTTGTCAACGGTACACCGACACGCTTTATCAACAGTTCGCTGCAGCGCAACCACCATCAGCCGTACGTAGGGTAAGGATACTGGGAGAGTCGGCGGGTCCCTACGCAGGCTCATACCGGCGACCTCCGGATTACAAGGCGGGCTTGTGATCCTTAAGACTACGGGTCGGCAACTCACCGTCAAAACGAGGATGTCGAGGGAGTAGCGAGCGAACACAGTTCATTGCAATACACAGTGGATGATTCTCAAGCCTATTTTTAGGTAGGTTTGTGTCATATTTACAAGCAGACAAACGTCCATTTTACGTCCTGAAAAGTAGGAGGCAGCCACTTTGTCTTTTCGGCAGTAATAATTAATATACCTGCCTTTTACTCAATGAGAGTCTTGAACCAATGACTCCTGAGTTTTTAATCAGGGAGAAAGGCCTCTGGGACCATGGGGAATAAACGGCACCTACCAAAACTCAACACCTACTATAATTAAAATCATTAGCTTCCTACACCATAGAAATTTGGTGGCAGTCCAAACGAAGTTGCGGCCCATGGGGCCAACTCTGTCCGCAGTACGGTGGGAAATCGTGCAGAGCGAAGGAGTATTATCATGCTATAGCACGGCTGTCTACTTAATCAAGGCGCTTGATGCGCGTTAACCATGGCCCAGAGAAAATAAACACACTAACATGAAGGTGAAGGGTTGTGGAAGTTGCAGTCTCTCATCAAAAATGGTGATTCCTGAAAGCATGGAACAGTCGCTTTTCTAGTATGCAGTGGTTATCTGACTAAGTGTAGCTGGAACGAAGCTCTTTCGAAAATCTAGTCCAAATTCATCAGCTTCCTACTTTTTAGTAGCTATTTTAAAGAGGTTAACTCGGAACCTTGGACAGTAAACAACCCCTTCATCAGGATTGCGTTGCTAACCTCATGCAGACATCGTACATGGAAGACAAGAAGACGAAACGAAATTGAATAAGGCCCATATAACCACTGCAGTGAAGTGTGGGCCTCAGCACATCGCGCTCGTAGCCAAAGCCCTTGCACAACACCGCAATTAGCCCAGTGGTTTGACCCCTTTAATCAACAACACATGGTTCAGGAACTTCACTTCCATTTGTCATGAAGCCCGCTAATCAAATGGTAAAGGCTGTCACAGGCTAATTACACCAAAGGTTAGATTTGTCTTCTTCACTTTAGGTAGAAACTGCTGATAGAAAGATTCTTGTTGGTAGGCCGCATAAAATATTTTTATTTCGGTGGTGGTCATGTGTTACAACCGCCTAAATTTTACTTTAGTGCAAGTCGGCTTTGAAATTAAAAAGCTGCGTTGCGATTCAAACGCGTAACGGTGATCCAACTCCAAATTGTAAGGTTAGACCTTTTACACACAGGGTTGGATGAAAGTGGGAGTAGAAATCGCGTGCTCATGCAACAACAACAACAGTGCCTCCATATCCAACCTCGTGCCCTCATCCAAGCTCTAGCGCTGAACGAAAGGCTTGCTCCATGTTTACTTTCGGCAACAAGCCAAAGCAATTGCATTCAATTGAGTAGATAATGGAATTAGGGTATATTGTCGATTCAACTAGCTTACACGGTCATCACATCTTTCCATGGATAATGGATGCCTACCTACTAGCGTACAAGCAACCTTCATACACCTCACTGGCATCTCACATGAAGCATTCCCTAAACCAGAGCTTTTTCGCTCTTCAATTCAATCACCCACCACAGCCCCCTGTGACACCTCCAGCCCCAAGGGAGAAGCTTTGGCCTGTCTCAGCAGACACCCCAACTGAAGCAGAGATCCAAAATGCAATCCAACCTGGTCCCGACAGCCTAAAACCGGCTCTATTCAAAGATGGCAAGAGTGTAGTTGCCAGCGAAATCCCATCACGGTTCGTGGAAGTTTGGACTGAGGAGAAGGTTTCGAACTCATGGGGAGAATCGGTCATTGTTCTCATCCCCAAGCAAGGCTCGCTTGACGATGACTGTAACTACCGCGGAATATCGTTGACCTCTGTTGCATCCAAAATCTTTTTGTCAGTCCTATTTCGCAGGCTTTCCAAGACCAGAGAGGAGATTTTCTGAGAAAAACAAGCCGGGTGTCGTCCAGGCCGCGGCTGTATGGACCAAATATTCACGCTCCGCCAACTTCTCGAACTCCGTCACGTCCACCGGCGGTTAACATTCGTAGTGTTCTTGGACATTCGAGCGGCATTTTATTCAGTGGATATATTTGCATTGTGGAGCTGTTAAGTAAAGAAAGGTGTGCCTGACAAGTTTGTAACCATCCTGAAAGAACTTTACAGTCACACGTCAGGCAAAGTCAGGGCTTACGGCACTCTCACTTCTTCAATTGCTGTGACCAGCGGTGTTCGCCATGGTTGCCCTATTTCACCTTTCCTCTTCAAATTTGCAATCGAAGTTGTTGTCCAAGGAGCACTGGAAGGTGCCCAAAACTGCGGTGTTGAGCTCATCCCTGGAGACAGAGTCACAGACTTGGACTACACCGATGATATCGCATTGCTGGGGGACGACCCACAAACCGTCCAGAGCGCTTTGGAGCGCTTGGCGTTAGAGGCGTTTATGTACGACTTATGCTTCACTCCGGGAAAATGTAAAACCCTGCTCCAGGATTGGCAGATGGCTGAACCCGCGCTCACCATTACCGGACATGTTCTGGAGCAAGTCGCTAGCTTTACTTATCTGGAGAGTTGCATCACGGCTGGTGGCGGTGTTGGAGATGAAGTCTCACAACCGACTGCAAAGACCCGTCTTGCATTCATCAAACTGAGACACCCATGGCGTCGTCGTGATGTGAGTCTTAAGCGCATGCGCAGGGTGTACAATACTTTCGTCCGTGCAGTACGCTTTTACGGTTGTGGGACTTGGCCTATTCGCTCGGAAGACATGTGGCGGATGTCAGGCTTTGACGATCGATGCCTACGAAGCATTGCTCGGGTGTGGTGGCAACACCACGTAAGCAACGCAGAGGTCCGAGACCGAGTGCTTGGAGCGAGTAGTGCCAGTCTTCAGAACGTTATTCTCCGACACCGCATGCGTTGGCTCAGCGACATATTGCTTATGCCAGTTTATCGCCTTTTCCGTCGAGCGTTATTTCACTCTCCCCGCAAGCGATTGGGAAAAGTGCCGCGGTGGACCACCAATGACGTGAAGCAGCATGAGGAATGTAACCTCAAGCTTAGCATCCGTCGGACAAGTTCGCCTTCCAGGATGTGGACCACGCGATTCCAACTTCCAGTGGTTAGAAACGTTGGAGTCTGTGGCGCGCAACGGGAATCAGTGGAGACGGTGCTGTCCCACCGGGCTACCTCTTATTTAATGTCTCATGGAACATAAAACTTTAAAAGACGAAAAGTCCCAACGCGACGTACGTAAAACCGAAAAGGAGTCATTTTCTTCACGTTTTATTTCGTTTTGTCCCTTTATTTAATGATGGTTCTGAGGGCACATTATTTTAACCAGATGATATATATATATATATATGCCTAACCGAACGGGCAGCTATGGCCAACACCATGGGCAATTTGCGTAGGCTGGTTTCGGTACTGAATATAGTTAGATCAAGTCGGGAACGCCCACTCAGCTACGCATTCCTGTGAGCTGCCAAAAAGGAAAAAAGCTATCATCCGAAAGTGGACAGGAAGACAATTTTTACCGTCGTTGCAACTAAGCATTGAGTCAAGATATTAAAATTACGTTTACTCCAGTGCGAAGTAAATCGGTTTCTTTTGACCTACCAAGGTATCGTACATCAACAGTTCCCGCTTCAACCGCTCATTCTCCTTTTGCAATCGATTTATCGTGGCCTGAAAGATGAGACAACATTTGCAAGATTACAATTTATGGACCGGCAAACAGTGGAGCAAGGGAAAATGGGTTGAAAAACCAATGGTGTTGCGTGTTACAGTGGAGGATACAAGCGAAAACCGGCTAGCTGTATTGTTCGCAGCTGGATTTATTTCCAATATGGCGCGCATAGTTTAATGCGATTGCACTAGAGAGAAAGGTTCCATTCTGTCAATGAAAGAGATGTTCTAAGACCAGGAGGCATTATGCCCCTTGCATTACGTCCACTGCCATTTGGGTATCGATAACTGAACTGTCATTAGTCGCCCATCCCATGTGAGGTATGAATGTGTACGGATAACCCACGTGGGCCCACACTAGTAGGTTGGAGCTACCGAACAACATTAAACGATCGGTTCACGCGTGTGCCACCCGAAACCAATCACATGGCATTCGTATCGATGTGGTGCTTTATACTCGCCGGGTATGACGACTTGATTCAATGTCACTAATCGAGTAAACTACACCCACAGGACAACACTCGGTAACTTGCGCCACGGATTGTTGTTTGTCAAGTTGAATGTAAAAATGACAAAAGAGTGTGGGTGAACGGAACCAAACAGCTCACTTACTTTTCAGTTGTAAAGAACCTGTATCGGAAGCGTTGGGTTAACGATTAGAAGTGTTATTTCAAAAATGTCGCCCCGCATTTTTTCCCAGACATGATGACGTAGTTCCCATGTTAAAACAGAGGAGCATCAGGAACCGTGCTCAAGCTTAAAGAGTACACTAAAGATGGTATAGATTGTTAGAAAAAACAAATGCATTATGAGAGCTCAAGACAGTGCGTTGAAAGGTCCATTTGTACAGAAAACATGACGTTCACAATAGTTCCACGGATGAAGAACGAAAAAATTGTCTGGCTTACTAGCTGCTTGAAACAGCATTATCAGAATAAAATCTGATAAGGAAGAAAATGTATGGGGGCAGAGATAAATATAGATTCCTATCGTGAACGCAGGTGACTCAGAAATAGCGTTCAGAGAGGAGATGAAGTATCAGCGGCAAGTTGCGAGAGCATTAAACTCCCACTCGTCAGAAACTCAATATCGCAGTTTGCATGCCTGAGGTGCTGATATTCGGAAGTAATAAACTGCTAGCCTGAAAAGAGTAGAAGGGTAGGAATAGCTGGATGACTTGAGTGTGCATAAAACGAAGGCCATAAAGATTAGCCAAAATAGTGATGGCTCACTTGCTCTTACGCCACACCGGCACATAGCCAGTGCGGCGTGTGCGAGTTCGGATAAGGCCCCTCGAAGGACTACCCCGTATGGAAGCATGTCACCTGGAGACAACGATGGCTGGCTACATTACTTCACATGAAGATTTTTCTATATCTCCATTTCTTCTTGTTCAGTTTCTCAATATTTTGAATAAATTCGGGGTAGCAATCAGTCCCATAATTCGTTTGGGAACAGCAGTGAACAGTAGTTAGATGTGTTGACTAACTGTCAAACTCACCGTAGCATCATATTTTTGATTCTCCACCGGTTTACAGGGTATTCGCAATACTCTGTTCGCGAAACGAATGGTTGAGTTCTAAAACCAATTAAATAGAAGCCTGTAGTTGATGGGATGAGATATAAATATATCCGGCACATGTGATGAGGGTCTGTGGATTATCGAACGAATGAACTGCAGTTTGTGCGGGCAAAATGAGGAATACTTAAATTCCCGCATTATAACAGGTTTGAAGCCAGATATACACGTGCAAACAATATGAACTGTGTTTCGATGAAATCAACACGCTGTGTTCTTGAAGACAGCAATGTATGAGAAGAAAAGCATGATTGGTTTCCGTTACATCATCTCTCACTGAACACGTAGCAATGTTGAGGCAGGAGGGAGGTACGTCGTTTCCTGAACACGAATATTGTGCCTAGAAGTCCATCAGTAACAGGTGGAAAGAGAAGGTACATCCAACCGCTATATCTACTGACCATACTTTCCGATCAATCTTAGCTGGCGACGCCCATCGTTAACTTCGTGAATGAGCTTCGACACAGCAAAGCTGCGCGTGCATGGGTGACTTGAATATATGGTAGGTTATTATGTGCACACCGAACAACCACAGATAATGACTATTGTACACCTCTAAACTGCTTTATTACATTCCTCTGTGAGGTCCTGACGCAGGGAGATCGTAGTTCCTTCTGAATTGTCATGTCTAGATCGTATGTTCCACATGAATCCTCGCGCAAGCATCAACAGGTATAGAAAGAGGAATGATCCAGACTAGTTGGGCGCTCTGTAACGGATTGACCTATTGATTTCAGCATTTTGTACAGCGGAAAAAAGACAACTAACTGTCATTTTTAACAAAGGCGATAACTAAAAGCGGAACCCGGGCAATCAGTGGCGCTATTCTGCGTTAAGGTTGCAAGTGTCTGTTAGGCACGAAAGGACTTCCGTCAACTTCAGGTAGAACAGAGACTGAGGCAATTGCAGCAGAGCTTTGCAAAAACTTGCTTAAAATTGTTTCCTAAAACTCCACTATTTCTAACCGGTAATAGAAATTTAGTCTTCTGGTCTAAGAAGTTTTATTTATCGGGTTGTTATTACGGTGATCAAAAAATGTAACGTAACTAATCTTTAGTTAAATGATCCTTTATGGTTCATCAACGAAAGTGTAATACTCCTCTAACGATAATGTATACCGGTGCTTCCTTACGGTGCTGCCACAAATTGTTGTACTCAATATGAGTCAAGAAAACGGGGTGAAAACCTGTGTGAGAGCGGGAACTAAACATGCGGATAAATTTGAGCAGTCTTTTATTATACGCACTTTGTAAAATTACAGCCGGTGTATTTTTGTTATTACTGAGTAAAACAACATTTTAATCGATCAACAAATTGAACCTACTCTCTGAGCAGTGAATTTTAACGAGAAATATTCAGGCAGACACGAACCAGATTATCCAACGTGTGTACTATACAGGTTTTCGTTCGATTAGTACGCCAAAATAGACTGCTTCTCAGCCATGTCTAAGTGGATCCCTTTCAAATCCCGTTGTGAAGATATCATCATGCCCAGGTGTGCCACGACATACTCATTTGAGATATTAGATAATCAAATGTTGTGCAAAGTACTACTTGTAAATTTGCTAAACCAGTTTGCACACTCTTTCAAAAACCGATGATAGAACAGGGAGCAGCGGACTTTTCCACATGTGCATTTAATACATTTGGTTGTGCATCATTCTTCTTGGTAACCATACTCATGGCATTTGTCTCCGTATTTCCATATCAGTCTCAATCTATTGTTGATACCCACACTTCTGACTAAACTTAAGGCTGTCGTTTCGGTTCTCATCCAAACGCTAACTAACCACTGACAGTCGTATTGGTTACTTATAATTCTACGTGCGATTTTCTAAAACTAGAGCAATATGGCTGTTCTTCTTTCATTCAATCCAAACTCATGCACGTACGTTGTGCTTTGGTTCATGACGGTTATTATTTCTTCCTTCAGTTTGTGGTAGTCCATACACAAGTGTGAACAAATGCCCGTTCGCAACCCTGCAGTACTGTAACTCGAACCAAGGACTTTGGTGTGTCAACTGGTATCTCACGTTGAATGACTAAGTGGAAGACATTTAGAAACACTTATAAGCACCACACTTCAGCCTGATAGACATGTCATTTTCACTCGCGTAACACCATTATCTGCTGGCTCGATGTCTAAATGGGACTCGGCTAAAGTACAAATCCCGCGAAGATCTGTTCGTGTCTCGATACATTACCACTTGACAGATGGATCTTATTACATTTCTTCTCGTGGGACACCGTGACTTATTAGGGGTTGCAATATGAAGTCAATGTATCCCATCTCAAGTGTCTCTATACGCCCCATTGTACTGCTGCCGCCTTCAGGTAAACGCACTGAGGTTCAGACAAGTCATCTAGTTTGATTCCCGGAGCAACGGCAATAGGCTGTAACATCCGAATCGAAATGCATGGGCATAGGTAGTATTCTAAACACTGATGGATTGCTCGAGATATGTTAGCGGTCCGAACGAATAACCAGGGGGAAATAAACAGCAACACATGACAGACTGCTTGGTGGTTCTACCTCCCTGTTGATTCTCGCTCACCTCGGACAACAGACGATTAGAACCGGCTCTGGTTTTACCTTATGACACGGATAGCCTGCAGTGGACATAATCGCACCAATTCCCTGCTAACTTGAAAAGTTGCTTACGCCATCTCCGTCATTCATTTTGGTGTCATCCTTATTCTATATACCGCATGTAAGTCGCGCTTGGGTGCAGTTTCATTCTAGAATGATTAACTACTGACTTGGTGCAATGTGGTATCTTTATTGCACCTGCCTAGAACGGATGAGCCACAGGTAATCTAACATTTTAGGCTTATTTAACTCGCTTGCATTTCGCGATGACTTCACGTGTTGCCCATTACGATATTGTACTCATCATGATCTATGCTATGCTATTCTTGCTACCTCCTCAAGCGGCGTCTAGTATGGTTACCTACCGAGAGTGAGCTATGACATCTTCATTTTCGTATTGTTATTCGGCCGCGATTCATATCACTATGTCAGCTCCATGGTATTGCTCACCATAACTGTAGCTTGACTAGCTGCTCAATGCTAACTTGCATGATGCTTAGAGAGCCGATGCATCACAGAATAATAGTTCAGTCCATCCATGAGCTCATTCGTAATTGATGTAAGTGCGGTATTTCCGAGCGATTTGTGTGCTTGCTACGGATCAACGCTAGGGTGGCAAATTATTGTGTAAGTTTCCAGTTCGATGGATACGTTTGAATCAAAAGGTTATCATCGCTTGGCCGTTTACAGTACGCATAAAATGTCAAATTTGACATTTGTAACACAATGCTCAACGATTGTTCTTCGTGTGACCACTTTGGATTTTGCATTCGAAGAGAAATTTCCCTGGAAAATCTGTGTCAAGTGAACAATCCCGAAAATTAACCGACTAGCGATTATCACGATATTGCCATTCCATGTTCCACTCCGCAAGCTAGTGAACAGAGGGAGTATAGTTATAGTTCCAGTTATCCCTCAGCCATACTGAATTTACCGGGGGCCTATGAAAACACACGTGTGAACCGGATGGAAGGCAGACGTGCAGAGACGCCTACCAGAAGCTGCATTGCACACGACCAAGCTTGTGAATGGATTAAGTAAAATGTTGCATCTAACGGGAATGGTACGTCAGTGTGTTATTATATGGCATCAGAAATGAATCGGCGCATAGCGACAATGGTTTTATGAGCACCGAATGGGCTGCACCTAGAACGTACGATATAGACCGTTAACAAATAGCTTCTGGCCACAGTAGAGTACAGGTCGGTAGGTATAAACGGTTGAGTACTTGGACATTTGCACAATAAATGTGAACACTGTATGGAAAGTCGCACGTTTGACAGTGGGCAGCGGGACTTAGTTGGCGTCACCTGTCAATACCAAAGGTTGCGCATCAATCGTTCTTTGAGTAGGTGCACATACCTCGGGCAGCACATGACCGAACCGGTCGGAGACACAGAGAGCCAGAAGCGTGGACACTGTATCGCATTCGCATGCTGTGTGATCTCCCACATCAGCTACTCAAACCAGACTGCACATGTAGAGGTCAACATCTAAGTGCGCACTATTTCACTGTACCAGTAGTCTAGTCATCATTCTACCTAGCAGTTGCTTTACTATTGTCACATCGGATTCCTTGAAATATGGATGTCCAAGATTTAAGGCAGTCACGTCTAAATGTAGAAGAAAACATCAACAGTTCGTATTGGGTAGTTATTCTCATGCCTGCCACAGTGGTTGTTAGCCTAACCTCCAAACGAAACTTATACACGTTTGTCGTACCATTGATGATGATGTCTAATGTCTCTCTCCAGTTTGTGACAGCAGCTCACACTTAAGTTTGGATAAACGCATGTACATATGTTGCATTCGAACTGCCATTGGACACAGATGACGCCAATTTATGTATATATGTATACCGAATGAATTCCACTAGGATCTTCATAACGCTTTTGTACGGTTAACTTAGTGCAGTAGAACGACATTCGAGCAAATCGAAAATAATATTAGCAGAACATGAAGAAGGTGAGTTTATGACAAACTCATGTTGATTTCAGGTGTTTCGAATCCAAAGCAAATTTGATCTATGCGATTTCCGTGAACTGCTCAGAAAGGCGGTTTCTCAGGTGCCGGAAAAGGCACAATTGTACGCGGAATAGAAGCACCATGAGTATGTTCCCAATCAATTTACTAATCCAGGCCAATAAGGCGGCGTATGTGGTACGTTTGTCTGCTTGATGAGTAATCTTGCATTTCAGAAGTAGATGTTGCTTGAGCTCCCCTGTGTGGATGCGCCTGATGTGAATGTTGACAAGGTGCCTACCTGTCTATTACCCACTACCTCGTCCATACTGGCTCCAGGAGACAGTTGGTCGTCGCTGGAGGGGACGGAGTGTACCGTCCTCGTGACGGTGCTAGGCTGAAAGAGTGGTTCCATGCAACCTGTGTGGAACGGGCTACGGTCCAGCCACCGCCTCGTGTACGACTGGTGTGTATGATTTCCCAATTAGGCCGGAATGCTTCCGTTCTGCTTGCTGAAGGAGTGTGGGCCGGCTCCGTTGATGAAACGTGGCTCCCATCCACATGCCTCCCGGTCTTATTTCTTCGGGTTTACACCGGATATGGGGTGTGTGGGTGGAGCTATGGGTGGTGCAGCGCAAGCCACCCATGGTCCCCTCTGTAGGCGCAGGCGTCCTGTGACTGTCCCCATGGACGTCACAGTGACAGGCAACTCTGGATACGGACGCCGCCAAACCATATATATATATATATATATATATATATATATATATATATATATATATATATATACCAAGTTTGGTATATGAAAGACCAAGATCAAGCTTGGCGAATTTTCGACTACCAGATAGCTTGCCGTACAAATCTTTGATGCGTGCCAAGGGATACCTTTCCGCATCGGAAGTTTATTTGACAGTCCCAACAGATAAGTACGCTACCGTCGGGTTTAATTACAGGAACAATTGGGTTACCCCAAACTGGATATTGTATAGGCATGATTACGTCTTCGGATTGTAGCCGTTATAGTTCTACTTCAACGATGACGTTCGTGTTTTGTAGAAGCTTGACATTAATATTCTCCAGTAGACTGATGGATGATTCGAAATGTTTCAGATTTCCCAACTTATTTTCGAATAACTAGGAAACTTGTTCAACAGATCGTTTAGACTGCTGTCATTGATCATGACCTCATTAATCTATATCGTTTCTGGAATGTATCGGATCCAATTTCTACCCAAAAGATTTGGCCTTTTCCGAGGTACCAAGATCGAAGGTAGCATTAATTCCCGTTCGCGTGTCTGACTTTAACCATGCACTTCTCCAAGACTCTAATCGGATCTCCCGTGTAAGTTTGCAAATGGGAGTCAAATGGTTGTAAGGCGGCAGACTCCTAATTGAAACACTATTTATAATGTCAACCGCAGCCCCTGTATCCAGTTCCAAGTCGATCGATACATTCTCGCTCATCAGACGAGTCGTATATGGAAGGCACTTGTTGGAAGACACGGTATTCAAATAGACGAAATTTAGATCGTTGTCTGGATCTTCCAGAGCGTTTTCCTCCCCTATCGGCAGCTCATTATGGCGCTTCGGTTGGGCGAGATTAGTCAGTGTGGCTGCTTCCAATCTGCACAAGCGAGTTAGGTGGCCTATTTTCTCACATTCTCGGCAGATGTTTTCTTTGTGGTGACACTCAGAAACGCGAGCATATTGCTTCCAACAGCGGTGGCACACAAACTGTCTTCGAGTTCCGGATGGAGTCTGAGGTTTAGCAACTACGAGAACAGCATTGACGACTGGATGGGCAGTGCATTCACGTAGATGAGGAGAGATATTCTATCTTTGGCGAACGATTAGGCAAGCATTCTCCAACGTGATAGCTGACTAGTGCAAAGATAACAATTTTTCCCGTGCATTTTTGTCCAGAATCCCCGCAAGTAAGGACTGTATTTTTAGCTATTTTTCAAACCCGTCGGGTGAAATTTCCTTGTATTTACCCTGTGGAATGGACAGGTGGTTGTGTGAAATTAGTTCGTTGACACTGTCCTGCAGTTTCTGTACAAGCTTTGAAAAGCAGTATCTCGCAGTATAAACATTCTGTTTCAATCCCCACAGTGTGGTATATTTATCCAAGGCCGATGTAATGGTGTCAGCATTTTTTACATGTATCGCATCATAATGTCGCTGGCGTTCATCTCCCAGCACTTGCCTGAATAGTCGTATTTGGTAGGATTCCGAAAGCGAAATCATAGGATTCAAAACAGGCACAAGTTTCAAGTAGCTAATAACCGCTTTCTTCCACCTCATGCAGTTTGACAAGGTCAGTTTTTGCTCAGCGACAAATCAAAAGTTAGCAAGTGGATTAATGATAGGGTTCACTTGGACCCGTCGCCAATATTACATAGTAACGAATTCAAGCGAAGCACGCTCCCGGACCCTAGTCAGGCAGGACACGACGCAGTAGGAAGCAGTGTCGGGCCAAAACTGCGCACATGGATTACATGATACACAATCTAAAACATGACACGAAGAGTAGTTGATTGGTCAATGGGAAGCAAGCCAATAAGAACGCAGTTTGGATGAGCTAACTATTCAATGTTATCGACGGACGTAACAGTTGCTATAGCTAGAATCTTTCGTGACGCCTTCTAGCTAGCGGGTTGTGCGCTTCGAGTAGAAACCCATATCTCATCCATTTATTCGTACTTTCGCAGGTTTCCTTAACTGTGGGTCGAACCTGAGATTATAGCAAATGATCGATTACGCCATAAAACCATTGATAGATGGAATCTGCACCACCTGGACATGAGCAAGAGGAGTTTACCACAAACTGTAGTTCCTTTTGGGTGTTGGGAAGTAATTGCAGTTGATCAAAACCGACGGCGTTGCCAAGCTGAACGAAAGTGCACTGTGGCAACATGGAAAAAACCATAGTTGCCGACAGAGGCGAACTCAGGGTATTCATGTATCCGGTGCTGTAGCACATGCCGCTATAAGTGCATCTGTCAAGCCGGTCTGGTTTTTCATCAGTGTGGTCACAATGAGCTTATATGGATCAAACAGGCAGCGGCTAGATCGAATGTGCATGTATCATCGCAGTGTACTTCTGCACCCCCGGTTTCACTTACCAAACGTAGCGGATAATGCGACAGACGTGCTGCATTCTACTTACCGTTGAACTGCACATGTACCTGCACATTTGTGCTGTCGCACGGTAGACAGCGTTTGCTGTCCGTCTGTGGCATTCTTGACTGCGCTTCATGGGAATGAGAATAAGGTGTCTACCAGCCGAAAACTGCCACTTCAATTACAGAGGCTCCATGCGACTGTTATTTTGTTACTGCGGCAGACACGTGCTCAGCCTTCGTGACAATGCTGGGCTCAAAGAGTGGTCCCATCCCGTGTGGAACGGGACACCGTCCAGCCACCTCCCTGCGTATGTCTGGCAGGTATGTTTCCCTCCATGCAAAGGAATGGTGTGAATGTCGAAATGGTATGGGCTGGTATGGATCAATCATATCTCCCAGATACATTCCTCCAGGTCATATTCCTTCGGGTATACACTGGATATGAGGAGTGTGGATAGATCTATGGATACGGCAGCGCAAGGCACCCCTGATCCCTCTGTTGACGCAGTCGTTCTGTGGATGTTCGCAGTTTCACTGACAGGCAAATCTGAAAACGTAAGTCGCCAACCATCTAGTAGTGGCACGTCATTTCTCCGCCTTGTTTTAAATGACTCGCGTGGTTTCACTGATGTTTTACGCGCTATTTTGACAAAGTGCAGTTAAATCCTTCAGAATATTTTACGACATCAATCGTTCAATGTTTTTCTACAAAAAAGACCAGAGAACATAGTTGCCGTAATTTACTACCGGCAAAATTTATGAAGGCAAAAATTCCGTATCGTACTCTGATTAATCGACAAATACTTCCGAAGATCGTTACTATGTGCTCTAATGGGTGATTACATGGGTAAAGAAGGAATCAGAAAACATAGTGCGTTCGCTTAAACCTGGGTAATCATATTCGGTTTTACCTAAGCCACTAGCTAGAAACACTTTGACTTGCTTTGGTTTTGTGAGTTGGTCCAACTAGCCTGGTTGTGTTTCACGAATATCACTGACTGTGACATTTCATGCATATGCAATGAGTGCCTTGTACTTTTTGCGCGGGTTAGACAGTTGACGTATGCCTATGTTCACATGTTGCAACAGCGCTAACATTGATCCTTACTGTTTCCTCGACGAATCGTTCTTCGTCCCAAATATTGAAAATAAATGCGGTCTGACATCGTCCCCCGATGGCGTGCTTCAAATAATGGGTTAGCTTCGAATGCCGATAAGGAATGTGTTCCCGAGTCGGATCGGACAATGCAAGGACAGTTTGCTCCAGGAAGGTGAGCGATCGATTAATGTAGTTTGCTTCTTTCAATAATTGTCCTTCTGACTGTTAGGAATAATGAACAGTTAGAATGCATTGTTGAGATAAAAACAATTGCAAAAGTGAGTGAGGATATCAGAACTCGAGAAAATGGTATACCTTAGTTTCCGGTATTACACACGCAGTAGATGATATTTGTACTTTGTGTGTGACTGTCATCTTAGTTGAAAAAGGATCATTTTGTGGTTGCTCTAGCAAGAAAAGCAGTTAGATTGGGACATTAATTGTTAGATCAAGCTTGAGTAGGGTCTATGAATTTATGAGACAACAGTCTAGACCATATCTAACCATTCAATAAGTGGTAAGCAAGAAAGTATGACAGAACGTTGTGATGACGGCTCCTGTCAAGCAGGAATAAGGAAAAATGCACGACAGCGCAAACCTATTACCTGGTTGTATTAATATTTTCTATTCCTCATGAGTGAGGAAACCACATCTTGCGATCACGATGTATATATAAACATTCGGTTGAAGGGCGAAGAGTAGTATCTGTGTAGTAGATGCCTTGCCGTTTTGCAGTCCGCCTTATTCGCAAGAAAATAAACCATCGTACGTAACTTCGACCGAGTCAAACAATACGACGACAACGAGCATAGCGAATCTCATAATCCCAGGGGGCAGCGCAGGATGGCCCCGTGACTCCCGAAGTGAGAAATCGAACGTACTAATGAGATTAACTCTGGAGAACAGCCGTTTCATAATCCCTTAAATTATTAGATAAAGCAAATACGTATTTATCCTGGTATATTTTTGATACCATCGGTAGGTTTCCGGGGGCAGCCTACAAAGTGCAGGGAAATCGACGATGAATGACGATCAAAAGAATCTTCACTCTATCCCCTCATTCAGTAACGCATATGGCAAATCCAGGTAGGCTAACTAAGCTGGACGTTGATCCAACCACAAAAAATCGAGTGTTCTGTCTATCCGTTCTATTGCAGCGCTTTTGGCGTTTTCTGATTCGACTGTATTTGTCTGACCCCACAAAATGTTAGCAGACAAATAAATATTTTCGTATTCATCTGACACTAACTAAATTATGGTATCCATTATACCTCTTCAACCAGCTACCATTTGTTTCCAACCGATTTACAATCTTAGTTTCATAACAATGGCATTTTAATGCGTTGGATAGCCGCTGTGCGTAGTCCACCAAAAATGACAGTGTCAGTTAGCGCATCGGCCTCCTTGCCTCACCTGCAATACTGTGCGTGAATGTTGGCCAATAAACATTGCCGAAATCAAGATTCTTTTCCATCTTGTTACGTCAGTGCGCGAAGACCGAGAGGGAAGGCGCTAAAATTGTGTGTGATGTCGATCCAAGATGAAAGGGAGTTTAGATTCCAGAGAAACCCCGAACCGAAGGATTCGAGTTACTAATAAAGGCTATGTTGAAGTGCATGCACATGGCCGAGGAGCTGCTTTTTGAGCAGAAGATTAAAACGAATACTTGTATAAGCCATATACTCTCTCAACTTAATTAACCAGGTGGCATGAAAACAAGGAGATACAAGCGTCAAAGTTTTTAAGTCAGTGGCAATATCCCTTTGTATCTATCTGTAAAACAATGGCCATATTATGATAGAAGACACTCAGGGATGTGCGAATAACGTTTACCGGTGAGCGGCACTGCGATATCTCGTTGGATATCGACGAACAATATTATTTTGCGAAGGCAATGTTAAGTGCTTATGTTGCGCACCATTTAACCATCACTGAATGTGATAGCGAGCGCACATCTGTCATTACCATGAAGCTAGTGGCGTCTGCACTTGCTGCATACACATCTAAGTCTGGTTCCCATCTAATGAAAGTTGATGTTCAGGAGGTGCGCGAATGTAGCCTTGGGCATCTTGAATCAAAGATATTCAACTGACCAACAAGTCAACTCACGTGGGTCTTTCGCACTCTCTCAGAACCAGCCAGGTCCACATAGTGTATTCGGCTTGTCTTCACAGCTCCATTGGAATCTGACAATGAGCGCACCGTGAGGTGAATGGTGAAGATAGTGTGTGCTCTGGACGACGCTCGGTTCAGGGCATGTGGTCCGACAGTTCGATTCAGCTCACCCTATGCACACACGAATGAACCAAAATAGGATAGATGTAGAGTAAGCTCATAACAAAACCAACCCACTATAGTAGGGATTTTCCAACAGTATTAGGGAGCCCCTTTGCTGCTACACAGAAAACGCAAATTTGTTATAAATACATGCATCTGTTATTGGTTCCTCTGCGCGCGCAACAAATTCAGTTAGATTTCTCGCGAAGTAAAAAAATAACTCACATGTTGCACTGAGAAGGGTGCTCGACCGCACTCACGCCTAATGTAGGAGGGTTTTCGGTTAGTACACATGAACCGAGTTGTGCAAATCCACCTTAGTCCTTACACTTAGCCCATTTCAGTGTGGCTTACGGAACGGATGGAATATGCAATGGTTAAATTGTGTGAATCGTGAAGCAGGACTACTTTCTTAGTCACAACGCGTTTACTGAACACTAATCACCAAGCGAACCCCGAAAGATCGTTCGATGTCACCAGGATAAATCAGTCTACAAACTAAAGCCCCTTTCAGCCACTGTCACAGATCGACAGCGGTCACCTGTGTGCTTAAAAACTGCTGTCTGTAGTATTAAACCTAGAACAATAGAAGGAAGCGTACTGATCGGTCACCGTTTGCTACAAACCGCTCTCAAGCGATTCTGTTTGGAAGTTTTATTAACTACACCTGTGTGCACGAAGAAAATACGCACGATGAAAATGTCATTTCATAGCCCACCTAGACTAATCTTCCCAGTGGAAATCGTAGAGGAAAGATCGTCTTGCCAAATCACCTTATTTAATTTGTCACGGGACCCGAAGCTCGACTAAACAAAATGGCTTTTCGAAAGGGATTCGTCACCTTTACGCCGTCATACAATCACCACATAACAGAGTGAACACTGGACGGCCATTTCATCTTATTGGCAATCGCCAGCATTGGGCATTCAGTCTATCCCTCTGTGGGGCTAGAACCCACGACCATATCCACTTGAGTTTTTGATTGGAATTCATGGGCAGCGGAAGATAAAATACAACTACTATGACTGTACCTCGTCTGGAAATGACACACCTACTCATCCACCGCAAGTTTCCAACGTGGAGAGTAAGCTAGCTTACAAATTTATTTTACGACAGTGTATAGGGAACGGAAGCCGTGGTTCAAGTAAGCCACCCTGTACAGTGGAAACGCACAAGACCTCGAACAATGAATTTATACGGGTTAAGAAGTGTTGCTTTACAAGGCTCGTTGGATAGTTGGTGGGGATATCGATATAACAATAACGATAACAACGATAGTAAAACAGTTACTGATTTAAATATGAAAATCCGGACTTATCGTTTGCTCCGCCGTAGTCCTGCAAATCGCTTAGATTCACAACACCCGCAGTTAACACCAAATAATTCCATAGTAAACTCCAGTTGTAGGATGGAGACGTAGCGCTGTGACAAAGTGTAAGTGGATGAGTGCGTCACTCAACCGTCTTTTAAATACTGTTGGTATCGGTGTAGAGACGACCGATTCTTGGAGTGCATTTCACGGTTGACAGACACGAATATAAAAGAAATTTCGGTAGCACTCCAGCCGACTATAGTGTACAGCGGGTTTCAATGAGTGGCCTCTCAGGGTTGTATTGTTGCTGACTCGCAGTACAGGGCGGCCCACATGATGTGGGTCTCACAGAATCAAGTATGCCATAATCAGGTTGCCTCGTAGTCTGCGATAGCTTCCACACAGTAAATCCAATGGATGCAGCGTCTCCTGGCATGAAAGATTGTGCATTTCAATTACGTTCTTATATGTCCGGCGTTGTGGCTGCTCCATTGCATTAAGGCCGTGTTTCAGCCATGGATGCTAGGCTTAAATTATGTATACGACATGGGGGCGAACAAATGTACTGAGCAGCCAGACGTGTTGGTTCCCGGTCTTCGAGGCCTTTTCGGATTGCCTGGAGCAACCCATGTCAGCTTGAACCAGGACACCCAAGTCACTTTCGACAGTTGGTTGTTGCAGTATATTTTTCCGAGCAGGTATGGGTAGTTGTTCTTATGTCGGATGGAAAGTACCTTGCATGTACTGATGTTGAAATGCAGTAAGTTTTGGGTTGACTATTGATATACTGTTCGCCCTTTTCTTCACACATGAATACAGCACGTATCACTTTTGTTCCCAAGGCAGATGCACCCTCTTCTCCTGAGTTATTTCGGCCTATTTCTGTCACTTCCGTCTTTACGCGTCTGCTTCATCGAATTCTATTTGACCGCTGGGTTCCCACTTTTCCTTCAAATCGTCTACAATTCGGCTTCCTACGTAAGGACAGATGCTTTGAAGCACCTGCGATAATGCACGCCGCACTGCGACACGCGCATTCTTCATACTCTCCACTTTCCTTTGCTTCAATTGATATTTCCAAAGCCTTTGATTCTCTTTCTCATCAGTCCTTACTACGCGCAGCCTCTGCTTTCGGCGCACCCCCACTGCTACTGGATTACCTTGCTTCCTACTATTCCTAAGCTACTTCCACTTTCAACAATGTTCACCTCCATCCGGAACGAGGAGTTAGACAGGGAGATCCACTCTCTCCCTTACTATTTATCATGACGCTGGACGAAGCTCTGCAAGATTTACCCTCTGAACCCTGGACATCCCCAGTAGTGCCAATTGATTATCTCGCCTACGCGGATGACGTCCTGATATTTGCTCAGGACCGGTTTTCGCTGCAGGAGCGCTTGCAACATTTCAGTGATAAACTGGCCCTCATAGGATTGTCCATCAACCAGATGAAGTCAACCTCCGTCAACATTGTAGTGGACCGTTCAAGAAAACTAACGATACTGGACACCGCCCCTTTAGACTGTGGAGATCGCATTATTCCTTCCTTGCAACCAGAAGAGAAATTCACGATGTTAGGTTTGCCTTTCAGTTGGAAAGGTAAACTCCCGCCAGCTTCCGCAGGCGAGTTACGTGCTCAACTGGAAGAAATTACAAAAGCGCCCTTAAAACCCTACCAGCGCTTGGAGCTTCTGAAGACGTTCCTGCTTCTAAGGCATCTTCATAAACTCTGCTTAGCCGTTGTCCACAAACAGACGCTAAAACGCATGGACAGGCTTGTTCGAGCACATGTAAGAAAATGGCTCCGGTTGCCCACTGACACAACTCTGGCTTATTTCCACGCCTCAATCGGGGACTTTGGTATCGGTATACCCTGCTTATCCGCCACTATTCCACTGTTACGGAAGGACCGATTAGAACGACATCTAGCTGGACCATCCGAGATCCCGCAGCTGGCTCCACTCATCGACTGGCGCGCTCTAATGTTACCATCGGCAACCGAGTGGTGATGGATAAAGTATCAACCGCGGAGGCATGGAAAGACGCGCTACTTACCTCAGCAGACGGGTGCCCGCTCCAGGGAGTGATCACCACCCCCGCTGCACATCACTGGCTGCGGAATCCCACTAGGATATTCCCTGGACTGTTCTTTCGAGCAATACAGCTTCGAGGCGGGTTACTGTCTACAAAAGTACGACGCGCAAGAGGACGACCGCCTGAGACCCAATCCGAGCTACTATGTAGCGGCAACTGTGGACAAAAGGAGACTCTGTCCCATGTCCTACAATCATGTGGCATCAATCATGAAGCACGATGTAAACGCCACAATGTCACTGCAGAGCAAGTCGCCAAAAAACTCCGCAGACGAACAGTGAACATCGTTCTCGAACCAAGGATTCCAACAGCGACCTCATTCATCAAGCCAGATATAATCGCAGTAAAGGGATCATCGGTGCACGTCATGGATGTCGGAATTTGTGACGCCGACCGCATGGCGCGTACGCACCAGCTGAAGGTCGACAAAATTTGGCTCCGGAAATAACGCATCAATGATCTCGAAGTATATAAGCGCACAATTCCCCAAGACACGCGAGATTTATCACCATCCAACTATCTTAAACAATCGGGGATTTATATATCCGGCTTCGGCGAAATACTTATCAACTCTCGGCTTTACCAAACTCGACATCTCGGATATCTGCTTCTCCACCCTCCGATTATCACTGATGGTATATGATTCATATATGAGGGGAGCTTCCTCCCAGTCCTCCTAAAACGATTCCCACAACCCGATATTTCATACATTCAGTGTCGGATTACACAAACACACGGTGACCATGGAAGCGGTTCCGCCCAAAGTTTTGAAGTCTACTTAAAACCAATGATTATTATTATGCCGGGGCATTCGCCCCATCTCGGCAAATTGTTGTAAATCTCCACTCAGGAGTCATGCATGCAATTTACCGAAAATATAATGTTATAAGTCAATCAGGAGCACATGCTGGCCGACATTCACTGGAATCCTATACCAAAAATTATTATCGCCGGCAAACACTAGGAAGGTCAAAGCGATTTCTTGTGCAAAGTCATTAATGAATACCAAACACAAACGTGGACCTAGGACTGAACCTTGCGGCATACCACACTCAACATGCATACGGTCCGTTGAAGAGCACCGAACTCCGATCAATAATTGCCTTTGAAGTAGAAAGTTGGCAATCTAGCTTAAAAGAGGGTCGTGGATCCCGTAATACTGGACCTTGGAGAGTAGTATTCGATGGTCTAGACGATCGAAAACCTGCACAAAATTCAGTTAGATCACATCAACCTCTGCACCACGCTCAGAGAGGTCGATCCAACTACTGCGTGCGGTTAGTAATTTCGTTGCGCATGACCACTGTCGACGGAAACCGTGGTGCTCAGGCGTGAGGATGTTACAATTTTACAGATAGAACACCAGTGCATCGGCAAGTATGGGTTTCATGACGTTGGAGGGTATAGGAAGAAGGGATACTAGGCGGTATTTGGAGACATCAGTTCTGCTTCCACCTTTGTGAAGCGGCCTTATTGTTCCAAGCTTCCACATGGCGTGAACTTGATTCTGGTCGAAGCAGCGCTGGGAGAGCTGAGCTGAAGGTCCTTCCAGCTGGCTTGCTGTTGCTTCCAGTGCCTCTGGACGAATGGTGTCGACACTTGGAGAGCTGTGTTTGCGTATAGACGTCAGCCATTACAATACAGACTTCGCGGGTTAGTCCTGGCGAGGCGACGACAAAGTTTGGAAGATTACTTGGTGGCAAGACCCTCTGAAACGAAGGATATGTATAAGTGCAGCCGCTCATCCCCTAGCTCAGTGGTCATGACCACAAACTCTGGAGCATATGGTCGCGGGTCCTAGGTGGTACGTACCTGAGATTCCCAGCAGCGACGTAATAAAGAAGACACACCGGATAAACCCATAAGCACTTTTGATTTCAGAAAGATTTGCAAACAACCGTTTTGTTTTCAAACCATAAAGGTATAAGATCACTTTTACACTGTACCGCATATTTCAGTCATGTTGAAATCCTACCTCAAACAACACCTTGAAAGCTTCTTCCAAACTGGTCACGACAGGATATGTGAGACCTTTCACAATCACTTCATCTTCACCATCGGTAATGGACAAATGGGCCCGCTGTCCCTTGGCGCCCGCTCCGAGTAAGTCCAGGAGTTGTTCGTTGTAAATCTCTACATAAGAGAGGCTGTAACATGTAAGGGAGGTGTCATAACACACGCGTAGAGTTTTTTCTGGCCAAAACGGGAAATCACCTTGTGTGTTTGTGACTACTGCTTGGAAGTGTTACCGTAAGCTATCCACTAAATGTGTCACAGCGGCACTCATAGTAAATCTCAGCATACCGCATTGACTGGTCAAAAATCAGTCGCTTAAATATCTTTATAAAAGGTATATATTCTAAGTTGAACTAGAGAGCAACATAGCCACACCCTCATCCAAACAGTAATTTCGTTTTTACGATACATTAATCCGGAAGCACATTTCGCAACAATCTCAGACTATGAAGAATGATTTGATGATTAAGATATTCTATCGGAATAATCGCATTGGAAACATCTCTAGTGTCCGCTGAAACTGCACACACGAACTGGAAACCCGATTGCACTTGTTTTGTAAGTTACATTTTGCTAACAGGTAGTGAAACGTAGCAGACATAAGACTTTCATCGTTCGTTAACCAAGCACTAGACAAACACCGTTAGATTCACCAAGTTTGTCACTAATTAGAATCTGGTGTATTACTGATCTAGACTTGAATTATTACCTAAAAATTAAGGAAGACATCACTTGAAAGGCAAGCCACCAATAGTGGTGTTAAAGATGTAGCACTTACCGAACAAGTATGTTTTGTGACGGCTGCTTGGAGATCTCTTCGAAGAGTTGAGCCAATGAGCGTGGAATAATTCCACGATCAGGATAGAGCTGACACACTCCACTCATGGTGTAGGTCTTTCCCGCTCCAGTTTGCCCATAGCAAAGAAGAGTTCCTAAAAGACACAACTAATTTTCTTGAGCTTTCGAAACACGCAAGGCCAAGATAAAGGATTTAGAGACAAGAGAATCTTCACACTTCCTGGTTTCAGACTATTACTAGTGTGTGAATTTGGACACGCGGCCTCAAGCTGCATCGTGTTGTGTTTTAGTTAACAATGGCCGATTAACTGGCTAAGCATTTCGTTTAGAACGATGCCATTGATCAATGTTACCGGACGGCCTGTGTTTAGGAAACATTGAGTCCACGTGGCATCTTCACCGCAATGAAGCAGGATTCAGTGCGTATCCATGTTTGGACAAATTACGCCTTACGTTATGAGTTAATTGCAGTATAAGTGTATTCCAAGACTTATACGTCTGGCTAAGTAAAAGAGCTCGCTAAAAACGCGTCTTTAGCTAATTCGTGATGTAGCTGTGAACTTCGCATCCATGGCGCACGCGCGTGGGACCACGCGGTTGCTCGCTGATCTTATCTATCATCAATTCAGCAGTTAAGAATCGCCGGGCCTCAATCTGAATTCCGTTTGGTTATCCCATTAGTGGAACACAGTACAAGGCGGTCTTTGTTTTGCTTTGCATAACACTGACATACCACCCAGAAATTGCATCCATTCACACATGATATGCGCATACAAAGGTCGTTTGAGGAGTTCGTTGACGGTCCCTTACAATCAAGTGACATAAAAATGTAGCTTTAATGTTTATTCATCGTGCGACTTATTGACTTGGATACAATGTGCCCACCGGTGATCGAATGGGGCAAAATCCTTCCTGTAGAAATTCAACTCTTGCTCAAGGAGCAATAGCGTAATACGGATAAAAAAGCCATTGCAAGCCCCGTGGGATGATTGGCATGAATTATGTAAGTTCCATAAGTTACGCCAAAGTGAAACGCGCATCTGGGAATTCACCATATTATCCACGTTAGCCAAAACGTATATCCGTCAACCCCGATTTCGTGGGAATAGTTGAACACGATGATTGTTGTCGACTTCTCGTAACTCAATGAATAGAAAACAAATCAAGTAATGTGGACAGCGTAAACCATCGTCGACTAGCTTCTTACAATCAGGTAGCGTGGGTGCAGAAATAACAGAGGTTGTTACGGCGTTCCACGGTTGATAAATTCAAAGAGAAAAATAATTCAAGTGACATTCCAGCCGACTGTATTGGATGACCAGTTTCAGCTGATGACCCCACGACTTTGTGTTGCGTCTAATTTTCAGGTGGCGACAATCGTGACCGAGGTTTTTCAAGATCTGGAACACCAGGATGAGGTCACCTCGTAGACGGCGATATCTTCTGATGTACACTCCAAGCGCTTTCAGTCGCAGATAGTATGAAAGGTGGAATAAGCTCTTCACATTTTTGATTGATTTTCACCATGTGGACTCCAGTGCAACCAGAACACGTACCCTAGGTGAGGTCTCACATACGCATTGAGCATTTGTGGAAGATGGATGGGTTGAACCTCCCGAACGCCATCCTTAAGAGACCAATATGTTGGTTCGCGGTTTGGAAGGCTTCAAGGACTGAACCGAGCAGTCGTGTTGGTCTTGCGTCACCACTCAAAGGTCGCGCACGTGTGAGGCAGTTTTCAACATAGAGTCGCCAACCTTATATGCGTTAGTGGGATTGTGGCGGACACGCACAATTTTGCACTTGTCCGCGTTAAACCGAAGTAGATTTGTCTTTAACTATTCAAATCACAGCCTAAGTCTGGTAGCAGCACATCATTATACTTCTGACAAGTCATCGCCCGCAATATCTTGAGGTCATGGGCAAAAGAAGGAAATTCGACTCGATGACACGCGCGAGGTGGTTCTAAAGATTAAAACACGCGCGTCTTCATCACTGACAGTTGCGGAACACCACAGTTCACATCAGTAGGGTCAGCAAATGAGCGCCGAACTCGAATCTGACGGCATCGCTAAAGAACGAAATTCTTGATCCATCCGAGTATGTGGTTCTCAATTCCGTACGCTTGCAGCGTTTGAAAAAGTATGCCGTGATCTAATCGGTCGTAGACACCAGAAAAGTCAAGGTAGGTGACATCAGTGCTGAAGCCCGCTGTCAGCCATTCCGGTCCAAGTGCTACGCGCAATCAGTAGATTTGTAGTACATGACCGATGTTGATTGAATCTGTATTGTACCGATGCTTAGTCCTTTCAAAGTTGCACACTGGTGCTTCAGCTATAACTCCGTCACCTTTGACAGCACCGGGAGGAGAACCACTTGACGATAGTTGGCGGGATCTGAACGGATACCATCTTTGAAAATCGGGTTGATGATACTGTTTCTACATGTTGGGGAACGTCTCTCCATCCAGCCATTCTTTGCAATATTGGCTCAACGACTCAGCTATCCTCGTAGCTACTGCCTACAGTGCTTCCGGGAGAAGGTTGTCAACTCCGGGGGAACTATGAGTGAGCAACGATAACAGCTTCCTCAAAACTGTCACTTAACTAAACGTGTATGTAAATACTGACGTATGGGAGAGTGGGACAGGTATGTGACACATGCGCGTAGTGTGTCGGTAGATTGGAGCATATCGCCGCTTTAAAACGTTAGCTGCATCCTCGACGATTTGAGTGCATCCATCTACTGATATCAGTGATGAAACACCACGCTTCAAATTCCGGGACGACTGACAAGTCTGTACAAAAGCTTGTTGTTATCACCAAACCTTTTCGCTAAGCACTATTAATGTATTACTTTGTTCTCACGGACAAGTGTGGTGCAGTAATTAAGATACACTACCTAGTTGCTCCAGTTGTTTGGGCTAGGATTCGCTCCGTACACATATGCTACGGTGCGCCTCTAACTGTCATGTGTTTTCGATTGATTGATTGTGCTCAAACAGAACTCGGGGGCCTGTTTAACGACGTGGATTTAATCAGATCACTGAACTTGCTAGCAGACTCCATTCAGGCAATTTTATTGGAACAGTTATCGGAAATCTACCAGCTGGCATCTCCAACAAGTTCTGTTAGCATATGGTAGTGTGAAATCGTTCGAACCAAGGCACGATGTTCTTTTGGATATTTCGCATAACACACAAAGTTGTAAATTATTGTTAAGTGGTCTCTGCGTCCTGTAGGGCTCTGCATCTTTGGTTTCTCAATCATAGACTCTTCGTTCGTAAGCACCAAATCAAGCAGAGACGGTTTATTTCCCACTCTGAATTGTGTGGGCGAACTAACATGGCTGGAGAGCGGTGGGATGGCAATAAGCTCCTGCATATCAGTCCTTAACTTGCTCTTTGAGGGTGCCGGAACTTCCGGATCATGCATGTTTAAGTCGCCTGAGATGAGAACATAACTGTATCGTCGTCACAGGACACTTCCAAAGGCTAATGTAATGCGGAAGTCCGTCGCTGTGGTGAGCGTTGAATTATGATAAACAACTGCCAAAAGGTAAGTGTCGTTGCGTCTCAGTCGCATATTGTACCAGTGTGAATTTCTGGTCATCAATACTGGATCGTGCACCGGTTTGTACTGCAGGTCACTACAGGAGTAAAACATAACCTCTTCGGCCTTGATGGGGCGATGGTTTCGAAAACGGGACATACCATTTATCGCAACTTCGGCGTCGGTAATTTCTGAGTGCAACCAAGTTTCAGTTACGAATATGAAGTCCACTGCACCAGATGCCCGAAGTAGCCTCAGTTAGGCATGCTTGTTCAAGTGACTTTTGCCTTGATGTACATGCAGTAAAGTTCCTCTGTTCTTAGCAACGAATCGGGGTGTGTTTTGGCTATAAAGTTGTGTCGACTGGTGAAAGGTTGTCCGCTAAACCTTTATTGGTTGAGGTGATGACGAACTCCTTTGCCTCAGATCCAGGGAGCCGGCCGGTACCTCTTTGCTCCTCTCCTTGTGTATAATGTACAAGGTGTGTTTGCCAGTTTCGTTGAATAGCTGAGTGAAGTTATCTGAACTGCTATCGGGAAGTGATCCAACTAAATGGTTGCTCTCCTGTGTTTGTTTAGGGGATACTACCTTGATCTGCAGCTCTGAAAGAAAGCTGCTGCGGTTCGTATACCAGCACCCCAACACCCTTGTTGACATTTGTCTGGATTGAAGTACCACTTTCACAATCCTCCGGTCATATTTTTGTAAGTTGGCGATCTCGTAGCCTCAGTATCGATCGTGCTACGATCTTTTCCAGGTAGAGGGTCTCTCGAATGCATTGCCACTATTCCTGATTGTGAGTGATGACTTCAAAGTCAGGATGAACTCCATCCTCAGGAACACCATGTAAAAGGATGGTCCTGATGACGGATTCTTTCTGGTATTCTTCGAAGCTGTGCTTCACCTAATTGTGCTCGCTCCAAGGAATATCCAATAAGATGCGGATACAAGGTGACCAATTCCGGAGGCGAGCTGTCCATAACAAGATAATTTCCAGTTCCAAAGCAGAAGTCATTGCAACTCAGAGATTCTCGGTTCATCGTAGCCCTGTGGGTCTGCAACATCTTTGGCGTTCGAGGTTGGTTTCTCTGGGTCTAAAAAGCTGTGTTTGCAAGGCCACATTGAGGGCCGTCTTACTCTATGGGAGTGAAAGTTAGCCCCTTCGATCTGAGGACATGCTGATCCTTCAAGTCTTTGGTCATCTGTGCTCGTGAAGCATTGCTGGTGTCGGACGGCACCAGTGTGTCGGCCAAGATAATGTGCGTAAGCGAGTAGTAGGCAGTGTTAATCATGCTAGCTCTTTATAACAACTGATGGTTCTGAATAAGTTGGTTGGGTTGGGCACTTGCTATGTATGCCTGGACACCGCTTACCGAGGATGGTGTTGCTTTGTTTGCCAAATGTCGGGTGGTGCAAGGACCGAGATGGGCAAAAAGGAACTTGGCAGCAGGAAATAAAGTCACTGACGCTCAAGCTTGCTGTCGTCGGTCCGTCTCGCCTTACAGAATGGAGTCCACCTGACTTACCTTGTGCTTGGCTTGAGACGTTGCAGAACATGGCTGACAGTCGACACCAGTGGAGTG